CATCTTGATTTCTCTCTGGAGTAAGGATTTTCAAAAGAAGACTTCAGATGAATTTAAACTGGCCAGTGACATATCTGATTTACATTTTCAAAATAGGATTGTGGCGGGGGGAATTTTTCAATCTGTTGCATTTCTGAGTTTGAAGAAGAAAACCTATATATTAATGAGAATTATACCACATATGAGGGAGAAAGCGAAGGAGAGAAAAACATAAATGTGACAGAGAAACACCCATCAGTTGCCTCTCGCACAGCCCCCCAACTGGGGAAGCAGCCTGTAACTCAAGCATGTGCACTGACCCAGAATTGAATCAGCAACATTTGGGATTTCAGGCTGGCACCCAATCCACTGACCCACACCGGCCATCGCAAATCTTTTTTTCTTACACTAAGAAATTTTCAGGAGGGCAAGTCAGGGAGGCCCTGGGCTCAGTGCTCCAAGCATTGGAGAATCGGTCTTTGACTCTGCTATGTAAGACTCCCATGCCCATGTTCTGCTCCTGGTCCAACATAGTTGCTGGAGCTCTGGTGATTACATCCATATTCCAGGCATCAGGAAGGAGGAAGTAAAGTAATGAAGAATGGCACACCCCCTTCCATCATCAGGATGTAGCCACACAGGCACACCCAGCTGGGAAATGTAGCTCCTTTTCGGGGACACCATTTGCTAAGCTAAAATCAGGACCCTGTGACTGAGGGAGAAGGGGATAACCAATAGTGGAGCTGAACACAGTCCCTGCCTGTGTGAACTGTTGGGGACAGGGGCTTTGTTGGGCATAGATGCCAGTAGATGACAAGGGGAGTCAGCCCCATCCCACCCCAGGGAGAGATGGATGCAGAAATGAGCAGGACACCAGTGAATCAGGACTCCTCATTTTTCTTTCCCCATGGTAAAAGGTGTGTTCCTCCAAGCCCACTGGCTGCCTCACTCCTTCTGCTGATGATTGTGAGACATTTCACAATGCTATGGGCATAACTCAGTGACTCTCTCATGGGGGCACCCACTTTGTTTCTGGGATTCAGGGCCTTCAAGGGCCAGCTGCTCCTTGCCACATGGCCTTAAGTATGTCAAGTCTTGCTGGAGGACTGCGTAAGGTGGAGCACATACCTGAACAGGTACCCACCTCACAGTACCTGGCCAGTTACCATGCTTGCTCTGGGTGATCCTGTGTGACACTAGCAGCACTTCATCTCCTGTCTTTAAAGTAGGGGTGATGGCACAGCACCTTCTTATAGGACAGGCTTCCTTCCTGCAGGGTGATAACCCTCTCCCAACTCCCACTATGTGCACCCACCTGTGGTTCCTGAAAGTATCTGAGAGAAGTAAAGAGCCCTGGGCTCACCCCACTGCCGTGTAACGGTTCTCTCATAGGAGTGCCCATTGGGCAGCCACCAGCTCCCAGAGAGCGCCCGTTGCCCTAGGCAGCCTGAGCTCCCTGGCAGTAGGCATGTTTGGGCTGTTCTGAGCCCGGGAGCGGCAGCGCTGCAGCTGCAGAGCCATCCTCCTGGGCCAGGACCTTGCACAGGCCTGCCTCCCTCAGCCCAGGATGCCAGGAGCAGCCCTCAACGCCTTCCAGCCTTGCTCTCATACCTGCTCCACTCTCACCTCTCAGAGATGGAGAGGGGCAGGAGCCAGGCCACTTTCAAAGGCCCCTGTTCACAAACGTGGGCTGTCTAAATGCATATCCTCCCAGGCCCAAGATGCCACATCCATGCTTTCCTCCATAGTAATGCTTACCCCCAGCTGCTGGGGCCATGGGTAGGGGAGGTAACAGGCAGTGAGGCTGTGTCCCTCCTGACCAGGAGTGATGCTGCACCTCTGGAACCTATTCCAGACATGCCACAGGATGAAGCTGCCTGCTCAAAGTCACTGTGTGAGGAGGGGGCTGGGTTGAAGCCTCTGTCACCCTTACATAGCCTGGGTGACTTCATCTTCATGGCACCCCAATTTCACAGACAGGAAGCACATCCCTAGTCCCACAGCTCAGAAGGGGCAAGTGAACTTGACACAACACTGTGTGAGCATGCTCATTTTTGTGTATCTGCATGTGTGCACTAGTTGTACATGTGTCCTCCACCAGTCCCTGTGTTCTGCTGGAACACAGCTGTCTGGCCCACACCCAGCCTGGAACATTCCCCAATGGTTACTTTCCCATGGACCCTCACTTACTTCAGTATCTGGGAACTGGGAACCTTGGAGGCTCATGCCTCTCTCCCGGACAGTTGGAAACACAGGGACACATGGTGGGCACTGGCCCTTTCAGGCTATTCTGGAAACAGTCTGAAAAGTAGGCACTTCATAGGCAAATAAGGATGACAAAGGGAGGGGCAGTCCCTCCCTGAGGACACATGTCAGGGCTGGCAGGCCTGGAGGATGAGACCCTGCCACGGGCTGACCGCACCCTGACCCTGGGAAGGTGGAGTGCCCACCACGCCCCCACAGTCCAGAGCAGGGTAACAAAACCAGATCTAAACGCTTAGTTATTCCACCAAGACCTTTGCTGGCCTTCTCCTTCTGAACACAGGGAATAATGAATCTCCAATTGGAACTTTCATGAGACTCACAGGACAGATGTCCTCAGAATAGCAGACCAGGTGCCCCAGAACTGTCCTGCCAAAACCCACCAAGACTCTCAGTGCAGGACAGGCAAGGACACAAAGGCTCCTCAGCCCCTCTTCTCACTCACCAAACCCCCACTCCCTCACCTGGGACCTCCCACTCACCCTCAGGGCCCTCTCCCTGGCCCTTCTAGGAGCAAGTCCTTTTTGTGTGAATGATGCCAACATCTAAAAATCTGGATTTCCCGCTGCTTGTGGTCAGGTGTGGGTTATGTGAGTATAACGGTAACCAGCTGCTGTAAGAGGTTGCCATGCCTGAGCCTGCCCAGGCCCCAGGTACACCCATGTTCCTGTTCACAGTGGCTGCTGAGGCAGGACCAAGGAAGTGACTACCTCTCTGAGCCTCAGTTTCCTGAGCTGTGAAATAGGGTGACACCAGCTCCTCCTTTATGGGACAGCCATGCATGGGCAGAACTAACACCCCCCTGCGAAGTACTGCCATGGAAGGGGGTACTCTGCCCACACCTGGAAACAGTCTGAAAAGCAGGCATCTCATAGGCAAATGAGGATGACAAAGGAGGCCTGGCAATCTGAGATGTGGGCTGCAGGCCTTTGGGGCTGCAGTCAGATTGAGCCCCCAGGGCGGCCCCTACATGCCTTGGACCTCAGGGCCCCCTAGATGGGCAGAGTGCTGAGGGATCAGATCCAAATGCCCCGGTGAGCAGATGGGGGAAACCAGTCATGTCATGCAGCACCAGGGGCCAGCTGGGGTTTGGCCCCACTGCAGGTGGCGTGGACTTTCCTGTGGGTCAGGGGGAGGCCTGATTCAGCTTTAGTGGATGATCTATTTACTGGTAAATCCCCAGTGTGACTTGCATATCCCATGCTTTCTTTTTCACTTACAAGATACCACCTCCCCAGAAGGGATGAGGAACTGGGCAGAGGGAGACAAGAAATCACAGCCTGGAGTGTGGAGGGCAATCATGCATGGGCAAGGCTAGCACTGGGTTCCAGCACCCACAGGTGCCTGCCTGCGGGCCAGGCAGACCACAGGGGGAAGTGTCCACTACTTCCACACAACCTCCCGAGGAGCTCTGAGCTCGGCCTCCTGGGCCTATCCCCAGCTGTGCCTTGGTTTCCTCCCCTGTCAAGTGAGGGGAGATCACCTGCTTCCCAGGGAAAGAGAATCGATGCACCTGGGTCCAGCAGTGCTACCCCACATCGCCTCTCCTCTGCCCCACAAGCACAGCTCCAGCTGCCTTGTTGTATCACTAGCCTAAACAGGGCCTGGCATACAGGAGGTACTCCATGATTACATGGTGAATGAATGTGCCCCCAGCATTCATTCTGGGCTGGAGCTCAGGGGACCTAACTTGCTGCTTAACGTTTCAGATCTTCAGTTTATGGACTTATTCCAAGAGTACCACATTCCCCTCTCACAGATGGGGAAGCTGATTCCACAGAAAGGTCCAGCTAACAGCCTGAGGCCACACAGCTACTGGTTCAGGGTCAGACTCCCCCACCCTGGCCCCATCAGACCTGGAGCAGGACCATGGCACCTCCCCAGGGCGGATGGGAGGATCAAGAGGGTCGGTGGCTCTACTCAGGGCACACTACAGGAAGGGGTTGGGGGCTTCTGGGCAGACAATAGTAGACACGGTGGGAGAAGGCAGAAGTCAGGGCCTCCACTCTGGAAGAGGTCAAAAGCAGCTGTGCCTGGGAGTCCAGTCAGTGTCAAGACAGGACACAGTGGCCCCCACTTTGGAGTACCAGCCCTGGGAGAGAATGCCCGGCCCCTCCCACCCCGCAGCCTTTGAGGCCCAAGTTCTAGAAAACAAGAGTCAACTGACCTAGGGCTGGAGGAGCCAAGGGCTCTGGCTGCCCCCACCCGCTGAACAGGGACAGAGCACCACCCCAGGAGAAAGGGGTCCCGCCTCCCGCCTGGGGACACCAAGGCTGTTCCGTGGAGCAGGGGACAGTGCGCGGAGGCCTTCGTGCTGCCTTTCCCGAGGAGGGGAAGGTCAAGGCTCAGAGGCTGGAGACCCAGAGTCAGGGAACACGGATGAGCTCGTTGACGCACTGCGTGCTGAGCAGGCCCCCAGAGTTTGCCCGGGCAGTGGCGCCTTCCTTCCTTCACGGGGCTCTCGGTGTTTTGCTAAGTGGCCAGGATCTTGGCCTCATTTTATGGATTAAAAGTGTCCATGACAGGGGCGCGGAGGGGGACCTGCCTACCCCAAGACCACCTGAGGCCGAAGCTTGAGGAGCCAGGACGCAGCGTGGAATCCTCACCAAAAGAGGGTGGAGTCGATAGCGTCCCCAGAGCTGGGCCTCCTGGGCCCAGGCCCTACGGGATGGGGGCGGAGCCCAGGACTACTGCGCTGGGTCTGGCGGGCTGGGGCGGGCTGGGGCGGTCCCGGGGAGGGCCTGGGCGGGCACGCACCCGGGTAGCCGCGGCAGAGGAAGGGATAGCGTTCTGGCTCGGAGCGAGGCGGCCCCGGAGGCCGCACCATGGACTCGCTCCCCGAGGAGTACGAGCTCAATGGCGACCTGCGCCCAGAATCGCCCCGCTCCCCGGACTCCTCGGTAAGCCCCCGCCCCTGCGCCTCTGTGCGATCGTGGTGGGTGCCCGCCCTTTACCGCTATGGGCTTCGCGCCCGAGGTTCCCGGGCACGTTTGGGCGCCGGCCAGCTGCGCGCCAGGTCCGCACTGTGGCATGGCGGGGATCGCCTCGCCCAGCGCGCCCTGCGTCTTACCCGCGCCCTCAGGAGCCTGAATGGTGGCCTCGGGACTCCAACCACTCCGGCAAGTGAGCGGGGAAGCGGGGCTGGCGGGATGCCAGCTGGGCTGGGCCAGGTGGTGCTCACACCTCCCCCACCTGGCCTCCCCGACACCACCCTCTCATTTCCAGTCGCCGCATATCCTCCCACTACGCGCACGGGGTAGGCAGGGAGTAACCCAGCCTCCGGGCCCTAGGCCAGCAGCGGGCAGACAGTTACGTCACCCAGGGCGTCCACAGCGACCGCAGTCTGGTGCGTGCCTTGATGGGGAACTTGGGGCCACTATGGACCCGCTCCTCTCTCCTCCCGTAGCCCCCTGCTACCTGTGTATCGTCTGCCCTGCCGATCAAGGAGTGCGGTGGGCACCAGGCAAGCACTGGCAGTGGTCCTGCCCCCACATTAGAGCCGGTGCCTTCCCGTCCCTGGGTCCCCTCCTGCTTCTGGGCAGGGCCTGAGAGGTGGTCTGCCACTTCAGGGGCCTAGTAGCAGCACTTCCCCAGCGCCTGTTTGTGAAACCGTCCTGGGCTCAGCCCTCTGGTTGGTTGACTTTGGACATTCTTTCAGTTTCTGACCTCCTGGGGATGGGGGCAGGGCCAGTGGTGTCTCAGCAGTGTGAACCTGACTGGGGCAGAGATGACAATGCCCAGGTGTGGGTGACCAGACAGGCTATGTTGGGGCTGGAGAAAAGGAGAGGATCATGTGGGGCAAGTGAGGTCCCAGATGGCCTGGATGACCCTCCCGTGAGCCCACACAATAATTGTCTTCATCCTTCTCCACAGTAAGTCATTCCATGGCCCAGCCACCTTGCTGGCCCTTCAGTAAAGACTGACAGCCCTGCGGTGGCCCAGGATGTTTGTTCTGGGTTAAAGATGAGGCAACTGAGGACGAGAGGAGTCCACATGTGGCTCTGCACTGGTGTGTGAACACTTTGGAGCAGAGGGCTGGGTGTGCTTGGGGAGGCTGCTTCCCCTCACTGGGCCTCCTGTCCATGGTCTGAAAAGGAAGAACAAATGACCACTGCCTGCCTTCAGGGAGCAGGGGAAGCAGGTCAGATAACAAACAGGACAGATTGGTTGGAAGTAGGTTTGAACAGGAGGGATCCTACTAACCTCTCAGCCTTGGCTGCTCCTTTCACTCTAAACCTGCTCTGCTCACCTCATCTGGGGAGCAGTGCATTGGCTTTGGGATGGAGTCAGGGGGACACTGCACCCCACAAGAAGAGCAGATAGAGAAGCCCCTGCCAAAGTGCTGAACTCCCAGGGGCTGGACGTGATACCTGCGGGAGTGTAACATTGGCACTGGGCCTTGGACAACTGGAGTAGGGTGCAGGTGTGGCCTTCCACCATGTAGGGAAGGGCATCTCAGGCAGAGGGAACAGGGAGAGAAAGGCCCAGACGCTGGACCACCCAGCACATTGGGACTGGAGAGGAGGTATGATAGGAGGTCAGCCCCTGCTGGGAGCCTGTATGAGAGTAAACACATTTGTCCGGTGGTCTTCAGTCACAGGCAGGGAGGCACCTGGGGGGTGGCCAGCCTCAAGGCCACTCGGCTTATCCAGGCTTCTCCCAGCACTGTGCCCCAGCCTCTTCTTTTCCCTTCCCACCCTCAGGACCTGCCTTATTGTGCTCAAGGCACATGACTCTATGCCTCAGTTTCTCCATCTGTGAAATGGGGTAGTAGCAGTACATCCCTCAGAGGTCGTTAAGAGAACTAAAGGAGCTAATGTGTGAAGTGCCACACCTCGCCGTGCCCACTGTGTCATCCTTGCCTGCCACATGGACCCTCTCCTGGTGATGATGCCTGGCAGCACCTTCACCAGGCAGGATCCCTGGACGTGCATCGCCCTACTCTACATCTCTCCTGGCTCTTCTTAGGCCTTCTTTCCAGGTGGCCCTGCCAGAATCTGAGCCTCAGTCACCTGCCTGGGCGGGGCAGGGGGGCGGGGAGTGGGGCGCAGAGAAAGGCTTGCTGAGAGGAGGGATCACCCAGGGTGTCTTCAGGGAATTCGGGATGGTGGGAGGGTGGTCTGTGTCCCCAGTGTGCCCCTGACCATGACTGGAAGGCCTAGACTTACCATGCAGCCCATGGGAAAGTGAAGGCCCGATCCAGCCTCAGTTTTCTCTTCTGTGCAGTGGGGCGGTCTGGCTCACCTCCCCAGGTGGCCGGGTGTACAGAGGAGTCACACGTGTAACCAATGGTGAGACAAGCCCTGCTGGGCTTAGGCAGTGGGGAGATCCGCAGATGTTCCCAAGCTCCCATGGCCCTCACGTAGGCCCATCTGTCCCGGGTCCCCCTGGGAGTAAGATGGTGTCTTTGTTAAGTCAGCTCACTTGTGCTGCTGGAAGCATGAATGGTGTCAATTTTATTGTGAAAGTGGCTCACAGCTGTGTCATGCCCTGGGTGGCTTGGTTTGGAAGTAGCTGTGTTAGACCCTGCAGCAGATGCTGGGATTGTAGCCAGCTGAGGACACAGCGGGGAGGTGGTGGGACAATGTAGGAACAAGGCTCCAGAGGCCACATCTGGGCCATGCACAGCCTGAGCTGCTGGGGGAACTTTGCTCTTCTCATTTCTGCTTTCCCAGCAGATCCTCACACTGACAGGGTCCTGGCCAAGTTCTAAAAGGTGACTCTTATGTGGCTGCAGGGTCACTGACGGCCAGTGCTGAGCCCACAGGAAGTGGGTGTGCCCAGCCCATAGCCCAGCTGCCTGCAGAAATGCCCCCCCCAATCCCCCGCCAAACTTCCTGCATGGAGCAGGAGACCTCTTAGCTGGCCAAGTGGGGCCAGTTTGGGGGTGGTGTGGGCCTGTGTGGCCCCAGGCGGGTGCCCCCACACAGCCTGTGCAGTGGGCACAATGGCAGCTTGAGCACTTGTGGGTCAGACAAAAGACACTCAGTCCCTGCCAGAGCCAGTTTGGTTTCCGGTTCCCACCCCAGAGGGAAGGACACCAGAGCCTCCACGTACACTGGTGCTGACCAAGCCCAAGGTGGGGTATCCTGGTGCACAAGGATCTTCAGTGGGCCAGCAGCTGGAGCTGGACACCTAGGACCCCCCAGTGACATTTGACTCACAGAAGCTTGTTCTTTTTCTTCCTTGTTAATTTTGTTTTATGGAGTTATTTAATTAACCAGTACAGTTCATTTGGGAGGCAGTCTTTCAAAGCTGTGAGGGCTGGGTGGCAAGGAGGACTGTTTAGCCGTGCCCCAGCCAGCTGTGCTCTGACCAGCTACCAAGTCTCTGAGCCCCTCATTCAGTTCACTGTCAGTTCAGTTTACAGATGTGAGGAAACTGGGGCACAGGGCAGTCACCCTTGGGTCTATGGTATGGTGGGATACAGGGGTGACAGAGGGGAGGTACCAGTAGCAGCCCCACTTAACTCTTTGCAAGCCAGCTGATGTACCTCATAGATTTGTTGGGGCCTTTGATCTCTCACTCAGCAAACATGAAAATGGATTCTGGGAGGACAGATGGGAATTCCCATGCGGTCTTCCTGTTCCATACTGTACTCAGGATTCGGGGTCCATGGCAGAGTGGAGGTCAGACAGGATTGGAAAGAGTCAGTAACCAAACCCCTCAGACCTGCAGGATCTTAGCGGGCCTCAGCCCTGGCCTGGCCTGGCCTCCCAGGAGAGCAGAGGGTATGAGAGCAGGAGGCTCAGGTCAGGCCAGACAGCCTAGGGCCAGCTGGTGCCCCAGGCAGCCCTTTATCTCTTCCCATCCAAGCCTGGTTTGGACCAGAGCATACTTTATACTGTGACCAGAACTGGGCACCAAGGGTGCCTCAGCCATGGTTCAAATCCAGTCCTAATTCCCCTCCCCCAAACTGGAGGATGCCCAGGAGTATGTTTAGGGCCAAGTGGCCTAGGTCCCTGCAAGCTGCCTGGGAAGAGCAGCCACAAAACCCTCTGTCCACAGAAGGTGGACATGACCGTCAGCTCTTTCTCTCCAAGGCTCCTTCGTGGCTTTTACGGGGGAAAAAATCCAGTAGCCCAGCTCCAGGGACCGCAGTTGACATTTTGGGAAGTTTTCTTGGCCCAAGGAACACATTAACCAGGGCATTTGTTCCCTGTACTGCCCTGGCCAGGGCAGAGATCTCAGTAGGAGGTTACCAGCCGCCCCTGGCAGCTGGATAGCCAGGCCCGCAGGCTCCAGACCTGCAGGATGTGGTTTGAAAAACAGCAGCCTCCTTGGGACTCACCTGTGTAGTGGTCGCCTCCAGGGCCTAGAGCTCTCCCTACAGCCCAGAGCCCCTCCTCAGGGTGAATGTGAGGTTGTAGGACCCTGAGCCTCAGTCTCCCACTTTGTGGAAGGGAAGAATTACACTTCTTTTCAAGGTTAGTGAAGAACTTGGTGGGTGGCGGAGCCTCCCAGAGTGAAGCCCAGAGAGTACAGATGCAGAGACCAAGACCGGCAATGGGGCGGGGCACATTGTCAAGGCCATACAACAAGACTGTCGAGAGCAGAGGGCTTGACTGGGCCCCCGACCGTGGACTGTGCTGCCCTTATCACTGTACAGGTTGAACAGGAAGCAGATGAGCAGGAAGTGCCCTGCACCAAGAGGATTGTGTAGGCCAGGGCTCTGAGGCAGCAGCCAGTATGCCAGAGCCCGTGGGGCACCTGCTCCATGACCCCCTTGCAAACACGGGCAACTGAGGCCTAGAGGGGGCTGGGTGTCCTACATGAGGTCATGTAGCTGGTGCCTGGGCAAGGGGATCTTAGAGTGCTCAGCCCACACAGGGTGACCCCCAACCCTAGCCCCCTCCACGGGACCTGAGGAGACCATGGTGTCAGCCACCAGGGTTTCTGAGCCCCAGGGACTGGGTTCAAATCCTAGTGCATCCCTCACTTGCTATTGGCTTTGGACAAGGGGCTTCAGTTTACCCCCAGTAAGTGGACATGAGGTCAGGGAGTCTCCCTGGAGAGGTTCACCCAGCTGAAGGGCGCCCAGGATAGAGGGCAGCATGGGAACAGGCTCTTCATGCTGGAGACACTGCCACTGGCAGTGTCATTCTGTATTTGAATGTGTACGTAGCCCCATGGTTATAAAATATTTAAATGGTTCAGTAGAGCTCAAAAATGAGGAGGAATTCTTCTTCTTGTCCAGAGGCCACCAAAGTTAGCCTGGGCATGTACACGCACACGTGTGTGTGTTTATGCATGTGTACGTGTGTCTATGTTGTGTATATATGTGAATATTTATATATGTATGCTAATACTTGTGTCCACATGTGTACATCTGTTGCATGTATAGGCTCATGTGTGGTTTTGTGTGTGCATGCTTATATATTTATGTGTGCATGTTGCTTGTACACATGTGGCCATGTGTGTTTACATGCATGCACGTGTGGGTGTGTGTATATACTCATGTATGTGTGTATATGGCCCACAGAACAGAAGGTGGGAGCCCTTTGTAAAGTCTGCACCTGGCTTTTTCTCTGGGGTTAGATACTGAGGTGAGCACTGGGGTAGCTTCGAGTGACGGTACTTAGGCATTTTTGGCTTATGATACATAGGAGCACACACCTACTTCAGGCCAGCACCTTCCAGCCACCCACTGTCAGAGGAGCACACATGTGACTGGGTATGGAGCTAGAGGACAGTCTCATGCTATCAGGGGCACAGGCCCTTGGGCATTGGGCAGCCTATGCTCAGACCCAGGCAGGGGGAGTGACCCTGGTGGTGCAGGGGCCTGGGGAACAGCCACTTGGCTGTGTGTCGAACATCTGAGAGAACTGAGTTGGGGCCTGGGTCTACAGAGGAGGCCTTCCCAATGGGCCTTTGGGTCTAGAATTTTAAACCAAGTGGATTTGCTACTTCAGAGCCGCTCACAAGGGAAAATGGGGCAGGTAGCTGAGCCACCTGTATTCTCTGTGCCCGTCCTCCCTCCCTCCTGGGCCTGTTATTGTAGATTAAATTTAAATTTAAAGACATTGTAAAAGTGAGGCCCACCCTTCTGTAGGTCTATATTTTCCAGGATGCAATTGCCAGCCACACCAAGTGAAGGTGGACTGAGCACCATGCAGCCCCTCCTAGCACCCACCTCCCAGTCCCCATCTTTCATGAGTCTAGAAACAGGACCGCCTGGGTGGCCCCAGGAGGCCACTGCTGACCAGTACCCCAGGAGGCCGCTGTTCCAGCCTGGCAGCTCGGGGGCTCCTGTGGACAAAAAGCCAGGCCCAGGGGCATGAATTTGTCCTGGGGGGTGAGGAGAGGCCCAGTCAGGGGCAGTTTGAAGTCACCTTTGAGGTAGGCTGACCAGGAGGGCACCCAGGAGTGGCAGGAAACCTGCGCTGGGGCAGGGGTGTTCCCAGGGAGACGTGGGGGGGTGGGGTCAGGACTCATTGTTTTATGACCTTGAACATGAGGGCAGAACCCGTGCGGGAGCTCCTCTTGCGGCATGTGTCTGTCACCAGTGCTGCACTGTAAGGGTGGTCTCAGTGAAGTGTTCTTATCACAAATCTGAGTAAATAAAGGGGACAGGAGCAGATGTATAGAGGGCCTGGATGGGTGTCACACATCTACGCTTACCTCCAAATTCTTCAAGTTGTCCACATTAAATATGTACAGCATTTTTATGTCGATCATACCTCAATAAAGCGGTTTAAAATTTTTTAAATAAAAATTAAGGAAGATCTAAGCTCAACTGCAGCATAAAATGCCGAGGAATCTATTATGCTTCTGCTGTGTGCCCTGCTCACCTAGGTGGTGGTTTGGGCAGGGAAGGCTTGCTTCACAGTGGAGCAGGTGTGCAGGGATCCAGGATCCAGTTCCCACCCCGAAAGTCACTTCTGCCTTGGCATCAACCACCCACCCAGACCTGGAGGAAAGGGTAGGCAGGGGTACCAAGGGCAGGGATGTCCAGAAAAAGCTGTCAGACCCCACCGTGACAGGCAGTTACTAGTGGCACTTTCTAGTTTGAAATCAGAGTGTCCTGAGGTTATATTTGTGTTTCCTTTCTCTTCCAGGACTCAATTTCTAGGGACGGTCTTGCAGGAGCTGCACACCCTTTCTGGGTCTCTTGTTCTTTTAATAAGCACTTCTCTCTCAAGCCTCATCTGGGCCCACACCAGCAGGCTATCAGACCCCTATTCCCTGCCCATTTCAGGAGGAGGCCTGGGTGGGACCCTGGGATGGGCTCAAGTGTGCAGCTTCTGCCTCCTCCCTGTGGCCAATCAGCTAACTGCCCCCTCCCCACAGCCATCCCGCTGGGGCAGGAACCAGCCCATCAACGTGAACCATTATGCTAACAAGAAGAGTGTGGCAGAGAGCATGCTGGACATTGCGCTGTTGATGGCCAATGCCTCTCAGCTGAAGGCCGTCATCGACCAGGGCCCCAGCTTCGCCTTCTTTGTCCCACTGGTGGTACTCATCTCCATCTCCCTTGTGCTGCAAATCTGCGTGGGCGTGCTGCTCATCTTCCTGGGTATGTGCTTAGACAGGTGCTCATGCAGAGAGGGCCCTGCAGCCCTGCCTGGCTGGTTCTGCTTGCATACCTCCTGGGACAGGGTGCTTACCACCTGACATTCTCTGAGCATGTCACACTTCACAGAGCTGCATAAGGTGGGGTGGGGACTCCTCACTTGGCCTTGAAGTCCAGGATGTGGCCCCCAGAGAGCCCCGCCATGGCTCTGTCCTTCCAACCCCCCAAGCTGAAACACATCATAAATATACTGAGAGTTGACACGTATTGGGTGCCTACCATGTATGCTCTAGTTCTTACAATGGTCTATAGGGACCAAATGGTGGTCCCAGGACCCCTGTCCCCACAGGTGAAGGTCAGGGCTAGGAGCAGCAAGGGCTCCATGGTTGCCTTGACCTCCTGCTGGTTGTGTGACCTCAGGTAGGCCACTTGACCTCCTGGCCTTGGTTTCCTTGGGTACGTGTGAGGATCACTAGATCACCACACACAGGACACTCAGAAAGATGCTGGCCTGTGTGTGCTCAGCGCATTGTGCCTTGAAATCCAAACCTGGGCCTTGGGTTGGTGCCTCCCACTCTGACCACAGGTGCCAAGCCCCTCTGAGCTCCCATCCAGACAACTTCCCAGGCCAGGCCCATTGTCAGTAGTGCATTAAAGCAGACACGTCTCTCTGATGGACGGAAGTCGGCCCTGCAGCATCGTTTGGCCCCAGTGCTGGACCCATTGCAGGCAGCCTGGGCAGTGTGCACACCTTCTCTCCCACAGTCAGATATGACCTCAACAACCCAGCCAAGCACGCCAAACTGGACTTCCTCAACAACCTGGCCACTGGCCTGGTCTTCATCATCGTCGTGGTCAATATCTTTATTACTGCCTTTGGTGTCCAGAAGCCTGGATTGGACATGGCACCCCAGCAGTAGGGCTCAGGTGAGTTGTGAGGGCCAGCCGGGGCACCCCACCCCACTACAAGCCTGCCCCCAAACCCTGCTGGTCGCTGACGCATGAGCAGGCCTGGGGACTTGGGACCTTTCATACAGAGATCCCTTGACCTTGCGTCTGCTCCTGCTTGGGCTTCGTGGAGTGGGCATCCTGGCTGCACATTCCCACACCACAGTCAGCCCTCATTCTCGCTCACAAAGGCTGAGTACCTGCCAAAGTCACCTCGCTGGGGAGCAGGAGCCACAGGAGGCCAGGTGACTCTCATAACATGCTCAATGAAGCAGCCCCTACCGTGTGGAGCTAGGGCACTCGGACACAGGCACCCTGAATGTCACAAGGGCAGATACAGAAGGCCAGCAAAATTCAACATTCTGCTGAGCTTGACGCCATCAACCAGGCCTTGGGGCACCAGTGTCTCACGTTTGGGATCCTGACGAGGGTTGCACATCACAGATCCATGTGACCTACGGCCCAGTGGTCATGCCTCAGGCCTGCCCCCGAGGAAGGGTGGGTACCACTAACAGACAACTGCCTATCCACCAGGGATATCCCATGGTAAAATGGGAACCCCACGGAACCATTTGGATGCCAGCTTTCCCCCTCATTCATGTCATGACATACAGACCATTAATCGCCCAACGTATGCCCCAAATACACCCTGAGTCTCCCCAAGCATCAGTCCCAAAGCACAATTTCCCTGCCAGCCCCGGCTCTCTGGGATCACCCATCAGAGTGTGCTGGGGTCAGGCCACTAAGTCCTCACAGTGACACAGGAGGGGAAACTGAAGCTTGCCTAGATCAGAATTGGGCCCTTCTGGAGTCAGAGTGGTCCTGACACTTTGTGGACTGGTCACAGGATGCGTCACTAAGGCAGGGTTACCAGGATGGCACCAGGGCCCCACTGGCCTGGGCTGCCCTCACACCTCTCCTCTCCTCTGCAGATGGCCTGGATTGTGTCTGGCCGCAGCCACAGAGACCCCAGAAGCTGCCTCACCGTTGGGGCTCACCTGCCTGCATGTGGCGGTCCCTGAAAACACCAAAGCCAGGACTGGACTAGAGGACACTTGGGCCATTGTGAGGCCCGCTCTGTGCTTGGCTGCTCCTCCTCCTGGAGCAGGGACAGCGAGGTCCAGGGAGGCCCAGAGGGCAGAATTGGAGATCCCCAAGAAGGGTCACAGCCAGCACAGACACGCAGCAGGCCTGAGGACAGGCAGCGAGCAGCCAGGGCTAGCCTCAGTCTCAAGATGTTTCCAGAGGGATGAGGAGATGCCTTCCTCAGCCAATGCACCCCTTGGGAGACCCATGGCCTCTGCCCTTCCTGACCCAGGCCCCACACGTGGCTGTGGGCCCTGTACATACCTTCCACCCGTAGTGACTGGGTAGGATCTGGGGCCTGGGCCCCACTTTTCTAAGCACAATTGACCAATAAAATGGATGATTCTTCTGTGCGGCTTCCAGCACCACTGCCCCTGCCCTAGGCCTGGGCCTAGGTGCACTGCACCCGAGCCCCAGCCTGGGCTGGCCTTCCTCCGCACACGGAATAGCCATGGGGACATTCTAACATCTCCGGGCCTTCTCCAGAACTATGAGCTTGGGCAGCTCCTTGGCGCCTCACATTTCAGGTCAGATATTCAGGCCAAGACCAGGGTTTTGGGTCTCCAGTGCCCAGTGTCATTCATTCATTCATTCATTCATTCATTCATTACTTTGAATGGTTATGAGCACAGGAGAATGGTTTAAAGAGCTCCCAGTAGCCCAGCCCAGAGGCTGCCTGGGAGGGAGTCCCACTGTGGTCATCATTTACTGTATGGGGAACCTGCCCGGAGGTGATACCTCCTATCCACTGGGGCTCCAGAGAGTGACACGTGCTGTGCTGTCAAAAACTTCAGTTGCACCCTCCCAGAAATGGGTTCACTGCCCCTACCATACATGATGACCAGGTCAGAAGACCAGCCTGGACACAACACTGCTGTCTACACAGCAGACTCATCCACATGTCGCCAGGCTTTCCACTAGCTCATTTGTAGCAGAAGAGAACAAAACCCCAAGGTCCCACCCTCTGCTCTGGTTCAGGGGTTCCCGGGTACCTCCTTGGATCTGATTCAGGTGGGGCAGTTTTAAGGCGACTGACTCTGGGTTCCTGTATCAGGGCTGGGGGTGGGCATGGCTGGTCCCCATGTCAACTTTGGGGTCAGAAGCCAGGACTGGACCCTCTGCAGGGGTTAAGGGAAAAGTGGCAGGCAGGATGAGCTTTCAGGGAAGCTGCCCCCATTGGCATCTCCAGACATCACCCCTGCTGTCCTCGGGGCACTTAGCCTGTGACCCCTGACCAGCCCCCCACGAAAAGTTTCAGCACTCTCACCATTTCCTGCAGCCTGCATGCCACCCATCTTCCCTCCATACCCACAGCCGTGACCCACCGCAATGTGGTGCCCAGTACTGCCCTTCAGCCATGCCTAGTGGGCCAAGGAGAGCAGGGCTGGCGCCAGGTAGGCTGAGACCCTGCAGAGACTCCCAACAAGGGCTAGGTGCTTTCTCTGGGGGTTGGCTCATCTTGAGGGTCCTCACCTCACCTGGCTGGAATCCCCAGCTCCCTCCACTTACCCCAGAGGGCTCCAGGACCTGAACCCTCACTCTGCCCCTTATCTCCTCCAATGACTCCTGCTGCCCCACCCCCTCAACTCCTTAAGGTGGCAGCCATGGCCTCAACTGGTACTCTCCAAGAGCCTGGGGTACCTGAGAACACCTGTGGCCTTTGCCCATCCTCCTCCTCTCCCCATCACTTCTTTTCCCCACACCCACCTAAGCCTGGGGTAGCTCTGACACCCTGTTCCCTTAAGATGGTCAGGTCATCCTGCCATCTGGTCTTTGGAGCTGAAAGATCAGCTTGGCACAAAATGATGGATCAACAGAAGTGCTTGTGGGTCAGACATCCGGTCCTGGGCTTTGCTTTAAAATACTCCAGGAATAAGCATAGGAAATGATGAAAGACTGTTGAAAAAGTACTGATGACTACAGAGCTGGCACCACAGGGTCGCTCTGCTCTGGTGAGCGTCTGAATAAAGAGGTTTTTTAAAGGTGAGCCCATGTGGGATGAGGTCCAGGAAGAAGCAAGTGGGCAGTGGGTGGACACATATTTATGGCTGGAGGGGCGGGTGTAAAGCTGTGCAGGGGACCAGGTTCTGGAGTGGTGAGGAGGTTCTCAGACTCATGCCACCTGTCTTGCTGTCACTGTGAGCCCGCCTTACCTTCCCCTCTTGCTTTTGACAGGAAGCAGCAGGTGGTCAGGCTCCCCGCTGTGACTGCCCCCACCCCTGGCCCTTGGCCCAACCTGTCTGGTGTGCCCTGTTGCATCCCCTTTGCCTCTGATTCTAGACCCAGTGTGTCCAGGACAGTGTCTGGGCCCACTCCCCCAGACCCAGCTCTACCTGGGGCCTGGCACAGATGGACTCCACTTGCACCTTGTTCCTGGGGTGGCCTCAAGTGGCCTATGGTGTGACTGGCCAGCAGCTACACCGGAGGAATGCCAGTCTGTGTGCTGGTCTTATGAGTTAGCACCTCAGACACGGCCATAAGATGGCTTGGCTCCTCCTTGAGCCATGACCGGAAGGCTGCCCATAGATAGCCAGAAAGAGACAGCCCCAGATTAGTGGGCCACCAAACCAGACTGGCTTCCATGGGTGCTAGGGACATTGGGGACAGGTGGGGGTGTGCTTCCCGGCCCCAACAGCCCCATCCCAAGGTGCCTCCACCAGGCACACATGATGGCACCTCATCTCCCCACCCACTAGCTCCCAGGTTCGAACTTCAACTGCCACTCTGGCCCACTACACATATATCCTCATGTTGGGCCTTGGAATATGCTGCCACTCTCTGGGGACAAAGCTCAGCCCTTAGGTCCTTCCCATAGGCCCTCCAACTCCCCTCCCCTACTGGTCACTGCCACATGGAGCCACTGGGGTTTACTTGGCTTTTACTACTGAGGGCTGGCCTCACTGACCACCGTGTTCCCCTGGCCATTGTCTGAGGCCCACTCACCCTTGCCATGCTGGCCCAAGACCAGGGCTGCGCCCCAAGAAAGAAGGTTCTGCCCACCAGCCTCCTTAAGAGAAGAGGGGTTCTGCCTGAAATGGAGAAGGAGGGCCCTCATCCATGCCTGAACTTCTACTTAGGGGACCTTGGTCTGGACTAGGTCTCCTGCTGGATGCTACCACCCATGGCCTGTGTCCTTAACACTGTGTCCAGCGTACAGTAGGTGCTCAGTGTCTACAGCATTTGCTCACTCATCCATGTGTGCTGAAGCCTAGTTTGTGTCGGAACAGGGCCAGCCCTCCTGGTATGACGACTCTCAGGAGCTCTTCCTGGGCCCTAACACTTCATTCTGCCCAACTCCCCCAACCCCTGGCCTCCGTGATTCACACTGAAACTCATCTCTGTCCTCCTGGGGGACATCAGAGACCCTGAGAGTGAGCAAGGGGCTTGAGGAGCAGGGAGATGCAAATATGGAGGTGGGGTGATGTTATGGAGGGACACACAGAGAAGGGCATTTGGCGGGGGGGGGGGGGGGGAAGGTTGTCTCAAGAGTGATGCTTGATGCCTGATGACAAGAGGGAGTCTTGGAGAGGGATAAGCCCTGAAAGCTTGTGACCTGGTCCTGGTACTGGTCCTGAGCCTGGGCTGTTCAGGTCGGGGAAGGAGCCACCATGTGTAACTGGAGTGGAGTGCTGAGTGAGACATGGCGGGGCGGGGTGGGGGAGGTGGGATCGTATGCTTAACCTTCTTAATGCTAAAGATAGATGATGATAGATGAATCGACCAAGAAATGATCGATTACTCAATTGATAGGTAATTGATTGATAGATGATAGATGATAAAAGGATAGATATAGGGAGATAAATGAATACTTGGTCAACAGAGAGTAGATAAATAAATAAGAGATGATAGGTGATTGATTGACAGATAGATGATAGATAGATCATGGGCAGATAGGAGTATGGGTGAGGAAGTAGCTATGTACCAGTGAAGACCCAGGCAGGGCCCCTCCATCCCTGGGGAACTGGTGTCCCCTCATGGCTCAGGTCCCCTACATGCATCCCAAGACACCACAGTTTACTCATGCCTAGTTCAAACCCTGGGTGTGTCCCCTAGGTGTGGCTCACTCTATAGGCTTCCCTCTCCTGGCTCTTCATCCTCACCATCCACATTGGAGACTCTGGCCCACTTAACAGGAGCTGAGGACGGATGAGGAAGGACAGGACAGGTCAGGCACTCCTCCTCACCCCCAGGAGGCAACAGCCGGACAGGGTGGAGCCAATGGACTGGGAAGGCGACCATTTGCTTCCACATCTGCCACACTATCCTGCCTGTTTTCCTCCTCCCTCCTTCTGGTGCCTTCCACCTGCCTTTAATTGACTTTTAATTCCTTTTTCCTCATGACATTACTTTTAAAAATCAGGCAGCTAAATATTTTAATGTTTTTCTTCTCTTTCTCAAGGATTTCAGGAGTAAACTAAGTAAGCTGCTGAGTCTGAGTGGCACAAGGCGCTGCCCTAGGGCAGCAGGGCTCCTCCCCAGCCCCCTGCTCTTGGTGTCCTCTCATCTGGGAGGTGAGCTGTCTGCCTCCAGGTGGGATAAAAATCAGGGTCCCAGCTGCCACCTGGCCAGTGCTGAGGGAGGGCCCCCAGTCCCCAAAACGGGTCCCCTTCTTGCCCCTACTACACAGGTGAGCTGACCTAGGCTCCAGTAGGCAGGCCTGGGAGCAGGACAGGCCCACCCAGATTTTCGTCTCCTGAGCCCCCTACAAGTCCGACCCCTCACAGATACTCATTTGTGAAACTGTGGGTCCCAGGGACCATCTGGCAGGGGCTTGTGCAGAAGTTTGGGGGGATACAGAGGAGCATGCTGGGCAGGGTTTCCTCTGAGCCCTGTCTTAAGAGTGCTGACTTGGTGAAAACCCTAAATACCAACCTCAATTCCAGCAGAGTCAGCACCCCCTGCCTGGACCCCATGCCTGCAGAGTCAACACCACCCTCTTGCCAAGGGGAACCCTTTGTTGTGCAAGATGCAGCTGCATTCCAGGCTCTGAAAACAAGAGCTTGTGTCACACACAGCTTGTGACTGTATCTCTCCTGGGCAAGAGTAACTGGGACCCAAACTCCCCCCACTCACAAGCACAGTCATTAATCACATACATGCCCTCCTTTACAGTACCCTGCTTCCAATACCCACACCAACTCCATGCCTAACCAACTCCTCACACTGATGGTCCATGGTCATTGACATCAATTCAACACAAATAGGAATCCCCAATTTGGGGTGCAGTGCAGAAGAAAACTTTAGAGTGCAAACAGCTAAATTATCAAGCATGGCTATGAGGCCCTGGGGTGAGGCAGCCCTAGGGAGGACAGCTCTACTCTGGTTTCCTCTTCCTGTTCTTCTCCACTCTG